ATGCCTCTGCCATCCAGCGTCCCCAGCCCACGTCGACGCACGCCACGGCAGCACCGTCGCGTGTCAGATCGCGGTCCGCGTCGCCCGTGCGGCAGTTCGCATCGCCTCAACCGCCACGGCCCAGTCTGTCGCCCATCCAGTCGCACCCCCAGACCATCCCCCCCTTCTGGCCGTCGGCACCGGCATCAGCCGTTGCTACGCCTTCTCACTCGTTTGCTTCGTCAACAGCGCCCCTGTTCCCGGCGGGGCTGGCGGAGCCGTCGATGGCTACGCCTACGATGACGCCAACGACGTCGCCAGGGCTTCCGCAGACGCCCACAACAATGCGCCTCCGCACACAGCGCGCCACCACCCGCCTCAAGGACATGTTCACCGTCCCCTCGTCACGCGTGGTTCTTCTGGGCGCCCTGTTTCTCTTCATGTACCAGGGCGCCGAGGTCAGCGTCGCCGGCTGGGTCACGTCGTTCCTCATTGCCAACCGCGGCGGCACCGAGCCCAAGGTGGGCTACGTTACGGCCGGTTTCTGGGCCGGCATCACCGTCGGCCGTTTTGTGCTGGCCGTCCCGGCCCAGCGCATCGGCCCCCGCCGCGCCGTGTACCTGCTGGTCGTCGGGTCCGCCGTTTTCGAGCTGCTCGTGTGGTTTGTGCCCAACGTCATGGGCGACGCCGTCGCCGTCTCGGCCGTGGGCCTTCTTCTGGGCCCTGTCTACCCCTGCGCCGTCGGCCTGATGATGCGCAATCTGAGCCGGCGCGAGCGCGTCGCGGGCATCAGCGTCATGGGCGCGTTTGGCAGTGCGGGCGGCGCGGCGGCGCCGTTTATTACCGGTGTCCTGGCGCAGGCAGTGGGCACCTTTGTGCTGCACCCGATTGTCATTTGCCTGTTTACAGCCATGCTGGTGTTTTGGTACCTGGTGCCGGATCTCTCCAAGCAGAAGGACTAGATGGAGGTGGTGTTGTGGTTGTGGTGTGGTCATGACGATGTGATATAACAATCTTAGGATTGCAGTTCTTTTGGTCGACAGCTTTGGTTTGTTGCAAGAAATTTTGAAATCTTGTAATATATTTTCTTTCCGCTATGGAGTTTCTTATCCTTCTATTTTACAAAAGTCCATGTGCCATTGTATTCCCAGTGAACCGTTACCCATCCAATCATGCAATTTGAGCCATTTCCGATAACAATCCAATAACCCAATAGGAAAACAAAAACACGAACACGAGCAGATCAGATGCACACATTCTATTCCATCTTCTTCCGTCTCTCGTTTTCTCTCGTAATGGCCTTGAAAAAGGCGTTCTGTGGTCCCTTCTTGCTCTTGATCATCTTGTTGGCACTCCGATTCTGCTCAATGTACGCCATGTCCTGGCCGCCACTGAGATCCTTGAGCGTGCCCGCCGTGCGCCGTGCTGCCTTGCGCTTGGCCGGTCCTTTGCGCAGCGGCTTGCCGTCCGGACCGTAAAACATGTTGCTGTCGGCCAGCAGGCTGGCGCTCTCCTTTTCCTCCTCGTCGCGCCACGACTTGCTCTCGACCTCGACCAGGATCTTCTGGAGCAGCTCGCGCCGGGCGTGGGAGCTGCCAAAGGCCAGGTCGGGCATGTTCTCGATGCCCTTGAGGTGCGTAATAACTTTGAAGGCGTAGCCCTGGTCGACCAGAAACGCCTGGCGCTTGGCGGAAAAGGCCATTTCCGTCGTGTCCTTGGACACCAGCGAATAGAAAAAGGCATTGAACCCGTCCTCGTTGCGCCGCTTGGCCCGCAGAATGCGACCCAGGCGCTGCGCTTCCTGGCGGCGCGAGCCGTACTGGGCCGAGATCTGAATGAGACAGGTGGCTTCGGGAAGATCGAGCGACGTGTCGCCAATCTTGGACAGGAACAGCGTGCTACACTGCGGCGAGTTCTGAAAGTAGTCGAGAATCTGCTGGCGCTCTGCGTTGCCCGTGCCGCCATACAAGAACGGCTTCATCAGCTTCTTGGCGTAGGCCTCGAGGGCGTAGACGTTATCGGAAAAGACAATGATCTTGTCGCCGCGGTTCTCGTGGTACTTGATGAGATACTGGCAGGCCTGGAACTTGGTCGGGTTCATGGCGCAGAAGATGGACCGGCTGCGCACATTGGCTCGCATGTACTCCTCGAAAAACTCCGTCGTCATCGGGCACCACACTTCGGCACACTGCACGCGCGCAATGAAGCCCAGCTGAGACAGCTCCATCCAGTTGGCCTCGTACAGCTTGGGGCCGATCAAGAAGTTGAGATCCTCAATCTTGTCGTCCTCGCGCAGCAGCGTCGCCGTCAGCCCCAGCTTCGAGTGCGCCTTGATGTTGCCAATCACGCGCCGGAACATTTGCGCCGGGACGACGTGCACCTCGTCCAGCAGCATCAGGCCCCATTCGCGGCTCTGCAGGAACTTGATCATCTTGGCAGACTCGTGCGCCCGCTCGCGCGTGTTGGTCACCATCGAGTACGTCGTGATGATGATGCCTGTGTTGCCGGAAAACGTCGACTTGTTGTCCGACGAGAACACGGCAATGTCGTCGGGGCTGATGTTGGACCACTTCAAGAACTCGTTGCGCCACTGCAGGACGGACATGTTGCTCGTCGCCAGGATGACAACGCCCTTCTTGATGGTGCACGCCGCCGTGATGCCCACCAGCGTCTTGCCGGCGCCGCACGGCAGAACAATAATCCCACTCTTGGCCCGTCCGTTGCCGAACATCTTGCTCAGGCTCTGCTCCTGGTACGGCCGGATCTGGGCAGCGGGCCGCAGATCAATCTCGAGGTTGGCGTTGGCAAAGTCGTTACGGAAGTCGTACTCCTCGAGGGCCGGGTAGTGCAGCGCCAAGCACCGCTGTGTGATGGCGCTGACCTTGTCGTCGCTGATCTGGAACGCAAAGACGGAGCTGCGGCCGCTGGCGTCGGCATCGTCGGCGTCGTCGGCGTCGTCGGCCAGGGTATTTAAGGCCTGCGTGTAGAGCGCCTCCTGCGCGTTGCCCTCTGCTGCGGGCCGCGTGTCCAGGCCTTGGGCCGCCCGCAGCCCGGCTGCGTCGTTGGTGCCCGCAATGGCGAGACCCGCGTTGGTCGGTGCCTTGAGTGTCATCTCTTCCGCGCCGTGCACGCGGCACGCACTGATCTCCGGGTCTTTCAGCAAAATCTGCATGACCGCCGCATCCGAGGTTTCGACGTAGTACTTGTTGCGCCGCAGCACCAGCTTCACCTTGCCGTAGCTCTTGCCGCAGTGCTTGATGTACTGCACAATGTTGGGCGGGATGTCCGTCTTGGAGAACCGGTCGAGCGAGCTCACAATGTCGCGGGGCTCCAGGCCCACGGACACAGCGGCGTACAGGCTGTGGGGTGTGATACGGTACTCGTGCAAGAAGATGGGTCGCGAGATGGGCTCGGCAATCGTAATCAGCAGATCCTGCACAGGCCGCGCCAGCGGGTGGTAGCTCTCGAGAACCAACTTGCCCCAGCCGTCCACCCAGAGCGGCCGTGACTCGTGGTCGGGCTTCATGGGCAGCGCTGTAAAGTCCTTTTTGTTCTGGGGCTGGAAGTGGCGTGATGCCGAGTCGTTGGCGCCGGACGGGAGCAGGTAAGGAAAGGCGCCGATGCCGAACCGGTCGACGTTGTCGGAGATCATGCTGTTGAGCTCATCGGGGACACCGAGCGCCTCGGAGCCGTCCGACGCGTCAGACTGTTCGGCCAGCTCGCTGTCGTCGCCAGCATTCGGCGTCGATGGACCGGGTGTCGAGGTTTTGGACGCCCGCGGCGCTTTGTTGGCCCCTTGGCCAGGGAGAGGCGCCTTTCGCTTTGCCGCCACCATGACGCGTCAGGCGGTGCAATACTGCACCAGACTGCGGTGGACGGCCTCGATACGAAGGAGAGGAGGGAGAGTGCGAGGCTATGAGCTGGGGCGAGTCAAGATCCGGTCCGACGAAGACGAACCCTCCGCCAGCGGCTGCGTACGTGGCGTGCCGAAAGATACCAAAACGAACAATGCTGTCGGTAAGGGCGTATTCGAGAATGCGATATGTACGCTGTTGGTATCACACTGGGAGAAAACTCGATCGTGGCGTGGTTGTGATGAGAACGTGTCGAAATGTAATCCGGACGTTGAGGAAGCGTCGAGAAGGTGGGTCAAACTGCTAAGAACTGGGGTTGACATGCTCTGTAATCAGACTCCGTGATTTGTCGTGCTCTACAGCTTGTGTCACGTGCTAACTAATGTGGCAAACTTCACGCCATGCTCTAACTGCTTCAAAAATCGACCTCGACTACCCACGACCTGACAATCCTACGACCTTTACCGCTGGGGGCTGCACACGAGACAGTGCAGTTAGGAGAGGGATGTCATCGACTTATCAATCCCTTGGGAGACGTCGACGAATAGCGATTTGTTAACTTTTGTGTGGAAATAATCGTTTTATGTCCTCCGTACTGAATCAACATTACGAGGGAAGGGTGCTGTGAGGCGATCGCGGTGCTCAGCACCTAGAATTGCAGCGTGAATTCCAACATCCACATTATATGGACCTTGCACGATTACGGAATGCCATACTACATAATGAATATGGCAGGTGAGAAAATATCTAAGAATGTCGTTTGGTTCTTCGTTCTGTTACTCAGTTCAAGACGACGACACGTGACTAGATTTCGTTAAATAATCAGCAGAATTTTAATTTTTGTTTCTGCCTTGGTTTTGCCTACTGACGTACAAATGAATTTTCAACCCGTCCAGGTTGGCACTGGGAACCGACGACTGCGACATGGCGGCTCAAATAACCGAAGTTTATAAATGGGAGGGGAAGTGGGCCATCAATATCGACTTTGAAAAAGAAGAATACCGTGTCAGCTGGGCTGGAAGCTGGAGAGACACACCCGACTTGACCACCTTCCCCGATATTGCTGACACGAATACCACAACACGAATTCATCATAGCGCCCAGGTGCACGAGATATGGGCCAAGTCTAGCACGGTCTGCCACGGTTCCGACTCCCATATCCGGCTCTTAGATCCTTGTGTACAAGACGACGATTTCCCGGTGTGCAAGGTGGCCGTCAACGCTTGCCAGCGTCGATCGATCCAGGACGAGTTTGTCCTCCTTCAAAAACTTGTAGCCCAAAATGTGCCCGTTGTTTCTGTCCACCCGGGTCCGTTGGTCGATGAGGACGGAATCTTTGGGTTCCGTATGGAGCAACCACTCAAAGTCCGAGTGCGCACGCTGATCGAGCAGCATGCGGACGAAGTACAAACAATAATGCAACAGATACACGATGCCGGAGTTGTTCACAATGACTTTCACCCGGGAAACGTCATGCAGCGACCAGACAGAACTTTGATTGCTATTGACTTTGAGCGCGCCGGGTTTGTGGGGCACGAAATCCCGACCGGCAAAGAGTTACCACTCTGGAAAAAACCGACGTATTCCTTCGAAGCCGATACCATCATGTTTGAGCAGTTTTACAGGGTATGAACCTGACATCTGACTTGTGTTCCACCTTCATGGCTTATGCTAACCTTCCTTCCAGACGAATCTTCACCAAGTGTTTGAATCACTAGCGTTGCGCCCATCCCAGGGTGAAATAATAGAGCGTATCGGTTTCTATGCAGTGTCATTATATGTCCCTATACCAAATCTCTATGCTACAGGTGGACCCTCTCTTCTAATGTCTCTTTTTGCCTTTCCTGAGTCTATGTCTATGTTTTCGCTGTGTTGTTCGTGGTATCCCCTCGGTATCCTTTACTGTTTTCTCGCCAAAACGTCGGCCACCGTAGCCCGACCCTCGACAATGCTCTCGACATCCTTGGCGATGTCGCTGAAATCCGTAAACTCGGTGTACGGCACGTTCTCCCGTTTGCAGTACTCGACCAGGTCCTTGCCCGCCTTGGCGAACATCAGGTCCGTCTCGCGCGCCGCCGACAGATCCGACACGCCGTCGCCAGCGTAGAAGATGACGGGGCGCTCCGAGGCGGGCGTGACACTGCCGTCGGCGTTGCGCGAGTACTTGCGGATCTCAATCGACTTGTCGTGGCCAAAGGAGCTGTCGTCGTGGTACACCAGCTTCCAGCCGCCAGCGTCCTTGTACAGGTCCTTGACGCCCGGCTCGCGCGCGGCCACGTTGTTGCTGACAATCTGGAGGCGGCGGCGGACGGCGTCCTCGCCGAGCCAGTTGCTCAGCAGGCCGCGAATGATGGGCTCCATGCCGCCGCTGAGGATGACAATGGGCACGTTGGCGCCGTCGGCCCAGTCAAAGAAGGTCTTGAAGTGGGGGTCAAGCTTGATGTTCTTCTTGAGAAGGGCGATGCAGTCCTCGAACGAGGTAGTGCGGATCGAGTCCATCATCTCCCGGAACGAATCGCGGAAGTCGCGCGCGCCGCTGAGGACGTCGCCGTTGCCCTTCCGGCGAAGTGCTTCGCCAAAGCCAATGTGGTCGGTCATGTAGTCATTGGTATCCTGCAGGGTGATGGTGCCATCAAAGTCGGTAAAGAAGATGTACTTGGGGTTGGACGCCAGCGCTGGCCGGTCCACGGTGTTTGCTGCGGAGCCCATTTTGTGCGGGTGGGAGTAAAAGGAGTAAAGGAGTAAAAAGGAGTGAATTTGGTGTAGGCGTAATCGGTCTTTTGAAGATGTTTTATTATGCCGCAATTTGGACGGGCTTTCGAGCCATGGTCCCTGCCGATCCACGTCACGTGCATCCACTACCGCTCCGATAGGTGGAGCAGCCAAAACCGGTTTACCAGACGGGGCCGTTTCCACATTAAAATTTAGTTTGCTCCCGATGCCCTATGAAGAGAAGACAGATACGGAGCGTGGCTACAATATTATATTTGTTCGTTTACGCGGTCATGTTTTAGAATTAGACTATATACCTGCTCACCTTTCAGGTGATTTAATTCACACCCCATTGAAAGCGGATGATAACTTGGCGGCGGTGACGAAGTAGGCCGCAAACATGTCTGTCACGGTTGACGATGTTTTACACCTGCCGTTACCGTGTACGGCGGCGTAGGTTATCGTATGTGATATCAGAATGGGAAAAGCAACTTTCTAAGTTTGTTTTTTTGTTTGTTTTTTTAAAAAAAAAAGAAAAAAAAAGAAAAAGAAAAAAAAGAAAAAGAAAAAGAAAAGAAAAGAAAAAAACTAGATACACTAACACAGAAACTACGTGTGGAAATACTGTTTTTTGTTGCCAAAAGCTTCGTAATTCAAGCCACAGAGCTCTTTAGGTAGAAGCATATAGCTAAATTTATAATCTATGAAATTTGCTATATTTTATCCATTAAACAACAACGCAACGCGATAAGCCGCAAGATTCCTTACTATAAAGTTAACGGGGTCTTGTTTTTCCCAGTTGTGACTTCTATACATTGGTTATTCGGGGATTGTGACTGTCAGACTATTTAGGGAAGTAGAGTGACCGCTAGATCTTCTTCTTTCTTTTTTTTTTTTTTTTTTTTTTTTTTTTTTTTTTTACGATAGTATTCCTTGTTATCTTGGTTTGTCCCACTCTTCCCATTACCACAGGCCATTGCTTGCTCAAGTGTTACTGTGGTGCATTCTGCAGCGTAAGCTCTGCATCTCGCAACCTTTACATCGCTCTCATGTATGTGATGTTGGGGGCTGAACTTATGCACAAAGCCTCCCACAGACGTGGCGAAATTCGTTTGGCTATGTCCAGAACCGCCCTGTGAAGTTGAGGCGGTAAAATTGTCGTTCCATTTCCTATTCAAGACAATGCCCAACTCCAACCACTGAGCATTGTTGACTTTCCTCAATGGTGGTTGTAGCCTATGTGTAACTACCCGCCGTTCATCAGGTGCACTGTACATTCAGTTCCCTCGCCTCACATCAAGAGTACGGAACTCAAGAGGCACCAGTCAATATTCGACAATGCCAACCAATCGCACGGCCACACCTTGACAAAGAGAGTCTCTTTGGGTATAGACGCTGTTTGCTGAATGAAGTGGTCTATTTGGGGCCGTGATGTCGATACGGCCCCGCCAAATTTGCCTTCTTCGGATGGCCAGCGTCGCCGCCTTTCTGAGAAGCAATGTGTTTCTTGCAAAAGAGACCGCCTTTTACTTCCATCAATCTCTCCATTTCTCCCTATTTCTCAGACCATAATTGGCCCCGTTCACTCTCAAAGCAATGGCACCTTCCTCGACCATCGCCGAGATCACGTCGTCTGATCTTGAAGCGCTCCACCCTTCTGCGGCTGCAAAGATTACAAACGTCAAGCACCTTGCCTCGTACAGCTGGATTGAAGCCGGGCAGCCCACGATTGCCGTCCCGGGTAGCCCAGCACTTTGGACTGCTCCACAGGGCCCCCGAAAAGTCAAAAAGGACACGGGCTTCTATTACATTGCCCAAAATGCGGCACGCCATCCAGACAGTCCCCTGGAGCCTCTGTTCCGCGCTTTGTATGTCGAGCATCCGTCCTTTGACATTCGCTCGGTGGACATTGTGACCGACAGAAACAACATGCGAAAGCTGCTTGCCTTTGTCAACCCAAGAATGAACCGGTACGCAAAGGAGTCGTTTACGATCCGGGTCGAGGTCAACAAGACGACTGTCGTATTCTGCCGAACAGAGACGGACACTACGCAGGTGATTCTACCGTGGGAGTTCCGGGGCTACGGCAACGAGTTTGAAAAAGCATACACCACAGAGCAGATCACCGGCGGCACGGGGCACCATCGCATCATCTCGTATCAGTTTGGCGGTCTCAACTTTATCGTCCGCTACAAGACGGAAGGCTACGTCGCTGATGCCAACCATCTGCAGTCTGCCAGCAAGCCTGCCAGCAACAAAGCAACGGCGATGAAAAGTGACGACCTCTCTGGTTTGATGGAATCCTTGTCCCTCTCCCAACCCGATGGTCCCTCGGCCGATGCTGCATTTGCCAAACCCACGCATGCAACGACAGCCACACCAACGAAACTGACGATCCAACTGCAAGGCCAGGCCGTGCCTCCGGACTCCCTCATCGAGATCAAGACCCGCGTCGCCCACAAACGCCTCGCCATCCACGATGTGGCACCGCAGCTCTGGATTGCCCAGACGCCCAAGCTTGTGCGAGCGTATCACGACAGGGGCATTTTCCCGAAGCCGCAAGTGGAGGATGTAGCGGCCGACATCACACAATGGGAAGACGCCCAACAGTCCGATCTGAGAAAGCTGGCTGCATTGGTCTCCAGAATTGTCCTGGTCACGAGAGAACGGGGAGGACATGCCACAATCCAATACGACCGAACCAAAGGGCACAAGCTGGTGATTCGCAGCGTCGACCAAGACATGATGCTGCCCAAGGACCTATACTTGAAATGGGGTGCGGTGGACGGTCCCGGAAAAGAAAAGACGCCCGATCAAAAGGTATTCTACGGTGGTCAAGGTCCCTAGGAGGCGGGCCAACATGTATTACAAAATCCCCGCTAACATAAAACAGGACGCACCTCTGGATGCCTTCAAAGATGCTTCTAGTGTGCCAAAGGAGAAACCCGTCGTTATCAAGAATGTTCGCTGAGCCAAGTCGTGGCTGGGTTTTCGTCTGCGCCGTTTAGTGGCAGGGAGGACGTCGAATGTAATCTGTGAACGGTGTGTGCGCAGACTGAAAATTCAATACTGTTGCATTGAAAGCTAGGAGTGACAGAAACAAGTATAAATGACAAAGGACAGAATCTCTAAAATACGTAGACGGAGTGCCCTTTAGGTTTATTTTCGCAGTCTTTGGTGTTGTCGTCAGGTATCACCACACTGATACTGGGACCCTGGAAGATGACAGATGTCTAGCTGGCCCCGAGTCGGCGTTTGAGTCATGCTAACTGCTTGCAGGTAAGCCTTCTTGGCACGATCCTTTGGGCTTATCCAAGCGCACCTACGAAGTACGTTTTGCCGTCTTGGAATTGCTTCATTCTAGCTGCAACTTGACTGTAGTGGACCAACCCGACTTTGGAGGCCAAAATGGCCCCAACATCCAACTCGCACAGCCATCCGGCCGGACGTGCGCCCGGCGCATTCGAAGCACATTCCCCGGACGACATCGTCGACACGCCAAGTGGCGTAACGGATGCGGCACATGCCAAGGCAAACTCGGCTACCATCGTCCTTGTCACGGAGGGATCTGGCTTCCTTGCGTCGCATCTCATCCTCCAACTGCTCGCGGCTGGCTACGCCGTCCGCACAACTCTGAACAGCCTGTCACAGGAGGACAATGTGCGCAAGAGTCTGCGCATCGCCCTGACGGCGGCCGGTGCCGACGTTGACGGCTACCTTGCTCGGCTCCACTTCTTTGCGTCCAACCTCGCCTCCGATAACGGCTGGGCCGATGCCGTCCGCGGCTGCACATATATCCACCATACGTTGTCGGGCGATGCACCCAAGGATGGCGTTTTGCGCGTGCTTCGTGCGGCCCAGGAGACGACTGTCCATCGTGTCATCCTGACGTCGTCGTTTGCCACGATTGGCTACGGCCATCCGCAAGAGAGCAGCCACGTATTCACGGAAAACGAATGGTCGGTCGACGACAAGAACTCGCTTCCGGCCTACCACCGCGGTTTGCTTCAGGCCGAGCGTGCCGCCTGGGAGTATGTTCAGGGCTTGCCCGCTGGCGGTGAGCGTCACGGCAACAAGCTGCAGCTGACCGTCCTCAACCCCGTGGGTACGTACGGCCCGGCACTTCCTGGCCTTCCGCCGCCCGCGCCCAGTGCCATTCAGCACCTGCTCGACGGCACGTGGTCTGCCCTGCCCGACCTCCACCTGGGTATCGTGGACGTCCGCGACCTCGCCGATCTGCACGTGCGGGCCATGACCGCGTCAGAGGAGACCGCCAGCGGTCAACGCTTCTTGGCCGCTGCCGACGGCCGGCCTGTGTCGCTGTCGAGTATCGCCATGGCCATCCGCAAAGAGCGACCGGCGCTCGCAAAGGCTCGCAAGGTGCCGTCGATCAGTGTTCCAAATTGGGTGGCGAGGGCAGCGTCGATGGTTGGTGGTTCTGGTGGGAGTGGTGGACGTAATGTGTCGTCGCATTTGGGTCCGGCGCTTGTCACGAACAATGAAAAAGCAAAGGGCCGGCTGGGATGGCGGCCAAGACCTGTCTTTGAGACGATCATGGACACGGTGGATAGCGTTGTCGCGGAGGAAAGTCGTATGGTACGGGAAGCAGGAAGGCATTAATATTGATGGCGGAAAGGGGCGAAGAAACGTTTAAGATACCATGCCATGTGCCATTTGTAATTTGAATTCACCTGCGCTGTGCCATTACGGAAGCAAATTGTTTACGACTTCGGGTCGTAGGTTTCTCTTTGACAACCGACACAGGCATGTTGTAAGACGAACACTCCAAAAACGCATCTGCTCACAAAATGTCTTTAACTATTAACCACGCCCTGCACCTTTTCATACAAGCAGATTGTATCGTTGGATCACGCCTCACCCACCACCTTTGCCACGTTGAGTTGGACCGCACCGGCGAGTCGAAAGGCCAGCCAAGCGGACGATCAAGGCAACACTTTGAACGTCTCACGTTTACTATGGAACTTGCCGGGTATGTTTGCCAATTACACTGACGTAGTGCCAATGCATTTGTCGACCTGGACAACATCATAGCAAATCCCTACGACTGGAACATCCGAATCACAGACATGACCGTCCTAGAACGTCAGCATTGAGGGTTGTCAGCACCAGCAGCTACGACGTCAACGACCAGTGCTGTGCTAATTTGGAGATAAATTGGAACTAGATCGCCCAAAGGCCGCTGAACAGACAGTTTCTTGACTACCCTGGCCCAGTAGTGTGGTAGCGCCCGGGCTTATCGTGTATCGGTGTTGTAGCCAATTCAAGCAGGGCTATGGAAGTCCCCTCACCCACTTGCAACTTGATCCGCTCCTTCCCGTGCTTCGTAACGTTTTCCTCCTGATTTTCTCTCCGTCCGCTCTTTCTCCTTTTGTTTTAAGCGCGCACGCTCCTTCCAGAACATTTTGGGTTGCATGCCGCTTTTCCTGGGTTCGGAAAGTGCAAACGGCCAAACGTGGTCTCAACAGAGCAGGCCAAGGAAAGGGCCCGCGGTCACGGAAAGAATATTCGACATCATATTCCCCTTTTTTTGTCGTCCCTTTGTTTACGATTTTTGGCTTTGCCCTTTTGCGACAATTACTTTGTCTTTTGTTTGCATTCGCATCGATATTCCACCAACGCACGAGCAAACGAATCTAACGATGCAGACTTCTCTCACGCAAAGCTGCCATTTCTGAGGCGCGCGGTAGCACCAGTGGATCAAAACCCTTGCTGCATCCCACCTGCATATGCAATGCATAGCTGCCCCATCCCTTCAACACACAAATCCCTTCCGTCGAATTATTGTCGGGAGCTTTCATGCTGGCCTTGGCAAATATTCAAATTTCATTGCCTTGCATCCCTCCCTTGACAGCGATTGGCCGCGAGCGCACAACAAAAGGCCACCATTAAAGCCAAAAGCACGCGCAACGATTGGAAGACACTGACGTGAAGACGACCAAGACACGCATGACGGTAACACTACGAATGCATCAAGGAGGGAAAACAAGTGTGCTGATAGGAGAAAACGCGCGACAGCTGCAGTCATGCGCTCGCCGTTTGTTTACCTTCTCTCGTCCCTGCGGTCCAACCGTCCGCTCCGTCCAGCACTTTGTGTTTTCGTTCCACATCGCCCTTTCGTGGTTTCTTGTGCTCGTTTGCTCTTGTGCTTGTGTTCATTTCATGTTAGCAGTTTTTTTGCTAAACTCATACACTTTCCTCGACTGCCACGTCATCGCCGTCTGATCCAACTGGCCGTTGCTGCTGTGCATTTTGGGCGGGCTAAAACATATCAACCTTTTCGTCTGCTGTCACCATTTTTTACGTCGTGTACGGTTTGTCTTGCCCTGTCGCCGTTTCGTCTTTTGTCCGTTCGGCCTTTTGTCGTGTCACTCTGAGAATCCTCAGGTCGTGTTTTGTCACCTCTTCGCGTGTTACGGTTTTGAGTGTTATGATACCGTTGCATCTGCTGTCTCGCTCTTTCTTTCTTTCGTCTTTTTTTGGTGTGTGTGTCCTAACTCGTGCACCGCTTTCTGCTTTGCGCCCCGCCGTCTCACTTCTCGTTGGCTGCGTCACTACCCGTGCCATCATGCACATTGCCCACTTTAATATGTTCCGGAAAGATGGGTGAACAGGGATGAAACGCAAGCATGGATGAAAATAAATAAGGCAAGCGAGCGAGCCAGGGCAAAGAGTGCCCACACATAGCAGTCAAGCAAACGAGTCAACCACAGATGACGAAGAACCAACCAGGGCCGACAGGGTTCGGAATCAAGGACGAAAGGGGCGAGAAGGGAAAGGGAAACGGACATGCTGCCGTTCTCATGAGGCACTGGCAGGACTGTGGGCCGCCGGTAGTTTTATGTTGTATGGATGGGTTGGTTTGCAGGAACAAGGGACACATCATGATGGGGCCAAACCCAGACAAGGGAATCGAAGCCGCTATGCTGAGCTCACAGACCTCAGTTGGACATCAATGAGCCAGACTGCGCATTAAATTGTAAGTTTTCGGCTCTTTATTCTGTCCTACTTCGCCATTTTCTGTCATACCTTTTTATCCCAATTCGTCCTGGCTGTTGGGAAAAATACGAGAGGGGTGTACATTTTATGTTTGTGGCTTTTGAAATTCTTCCATTTCATTTGCGTGGGTTCTCCCGTACAGCATTCCTCATCTCCTTCCATTTCTGCCGCCTCCACTGCCAGCGCGCATCGACGACTCACTCGCGCGACGACGCTGGTCTCCCCCACCTCAGCAAATCCCTCGTCTCTATTACAAGACTACATCTCACTCTTGTCTCCTTTCGCCCAAGGCGCTGGTCGTTTGATCCGGAAAGGTATCCCATTGCTCGTTGTTACGGTCAGCAAAGCGCACTCTCGGTCCTTATCGTGCCACGCACACATCTCTCACATCTGTCGGTCAATGCTCCTGAAAAGAAAAACTATGACAAGTCATGGATTCGTCTTTTGTCGCGACAAGCGCTTCAGACGCCGCCGAGTTGGGTGTCCAACTGGCCAAAGATCTCTACTGTCTCGCCTCCGAGTATCCCAGCGTCGAGTGCCAGATCGGCCGCATTGCACAGGCCTTTGTCGACGTCAACCTGACATTGGCCGATCTCGCATCGGCACTCCTGTCTAGCTCGGGTTCGGTATCGTTGACACCTCCATGCTTGGAGCGTGTCAGCGCCTTGATCGACCGTGTTCATATGGTACAAAAGACCTTCCTGGACGGCCTGGGCGAAAATAGTTCAGCCCCTGTCAGTGGCAAGACACCCAGCAGCAGCAAGAAGCCGAGCACCAACAAGTCGAGTAACAAGCTCGGGCGGCTCAAGACACTGTTCCCCGGTTCGGGCGCCGCGGAGCGTTTTACAGAGATGGAATGGATGCGCAATAGCCTTGCTCTTCTGGCGACCGTGTTCCGGCTGGCCACATCACAGGCGCATGCCAGCGACGACAGCGCCAATCTTATCAATCAAAACAGGTTTCGCATTGCGTCCGAGACGCTGACCAGTGCCGTCATCATATATGTCCGGACGATTGAGCAAAGGCTTGCTGGTCCCGAGGACGACGATCCGAGTGATGACGAAGAGGCCATCACAGGACCAGGCTCCTTGCTCTATGTTGCCCCCGTTGCCTTGTACCCCAAGGCGTCCAAGAAGGGAAAGTCCAAGAACAAGGCGCCCGTCGACATCAAAGTTGACGCAGCCGACTGGATCTATGAGAGGCTACGAGACAGAATCAAAGAAAGTGACCGTGCTGAGCGGCTCCCACGCCAGTTTGTTGAGTGGCTTCTCGTAGAGGCTGTGCTGCCGAAGACGGACAAAAAATCTGAAGTTGCGGATGCAGTTGCGGCAGAGCCAGCAGACGGAAATGCACCAGCAGAGGATGTGTTGAAGGATATGCGCAATCCCGGTACGGAAACAAAGGAGGCCATGACGGAGCCAGAACCAGAGCCGCAACCTGCTCCAGTTTTTCTGTCAAAGAAGGCAGTTAAGAAACTGGCCAAACTCAAGGGCAAGGCGAAAGCAGTCGCCACGAAGCCTAGCGAGCCTGAGCGTCCGTCAGACGACAGGGACATTGGAACAGCTGACAATAATGCGGCCGAAGATTCAGACAGAAAGGTCATGGATGACATCAAGGCTGGCAGCACTGATACGGCGGACACAAAGAAAGGTGGGCTCATAGCCGATACCGGTGGCGCTCCTGAAGCAACGCCCGCGCATCAAGCCGACACTCCCAAGGCAGCAGCGACGCAGGCCGAGCCAAGTAAATCCCGGGACGCCAAGATTGCACAATACGACCTCGAGCAAGATCATGATGATCTCCCACCACCATACCCGTCACCGGACTTTTTCATACCTCATGGCCGAGGCCAGCCATTCGGTGTCTCGCATTTCCCATATCCTCCAGCTAATCCTCTGGGGTACCAAACACAGACTGGTGCTACGTTTGATATGCCACCATTTATGCAACCCCACCCTGCGATGCTCCCTATCGGTGTCTACCCACTTCATCCACAATACATGGCAGCATCACAGTCATTCTTCTCACCTCGTGGAGCCGCGGGTGACACCCACCACGGACCTAGTGATCTCTTTGATGGCCTCCCGCAAAGCCGACCGTTCCCCAGCATGAGGCGGGGATCCATTGAACGACCATATCGTTACGCGCCTGGGCTTGAGATGGGCCGTGGTGGTAGTTTGGCGCCTCCAAGCCGACCAGCTGCGTATGGCCAGTTTGATGAAGACGGCCACTTCGATAATGACTCCCCGGTAAATAGGCAACCCGACTCAACCGGCCGCCGCCGGAGGGAGAGCAATGACTCTCAAAAGGCCAACGACAACAAGGAGAACGAACGATACGGTTCAGGCAACAAGGCAGGTGATGAGGCCTCCCCCGGAAAAGGCAAGGCAGATGCAGGGTACGATGCACAAGCAGCAACGGAGCTGGGCCTTGAACGTGTCGTGTACCACCTTAAAAAGCCCATTGCTGTGTCCTCGAAGCCGGTCAAGCAGGGCGACGAGAAGGCTTCTGCTGAGAGTGAGGAAGATGCTGAGAAGCATTACTCAGACGCTGAGACGGTCGATATAAGAGATGCTCTGCCACCATCAAACAACTCGGGCAAAAAACGGAATGGGAATGTCAGCACGTCTGCTGGGAAAACCCATGGCCAAGCTAACGAGGCTTCCTCGCCCCCGGTAGCCCCTGTCCTGCCTACGCCACCAACTCCTCCAGCTGCCGCCGGGGAAGATGATAATGCTGTTGAAGCAGAAACGTCTAAATTGAAAACAAAGTCTAAAGCCAAGCAGATGGCGAAGAACAAACGTAACGCTAAGGCCGAGGCGTTGGCTGCGGAAGGGGACCACGCCGAGACAAAGCCAGGGAATAAGAAGAGGGACGATAGCGAGTATGAGAGCGCCAACGAAAGCAACGATGGCAAGAATGAGAAAGATAAAAATACCAACGACGACGGCAACGAGACGCAATTTTCTCCCGATACCGAGCACAGAGTCTTTACACCCCCAGACACACCGCCGCACATCCCACACCCTGGCGAGGCGCCTGTCCCACCACCGGCTGCTCACATGCACTCGCAGGCGCCACATCCAGGTCCACTAGGAGCTGGTGGTGCTGCTGTTCCTGGTGGCTTTCCAGGTTCTACTAGCATACCATACTTCACGCAACCGCCGCATCCCATGATGGGCCCTTATCCATACCAGACACAGCCCAGAGGTGGTCCCGAAGCCACAGGCTATGGACTCAGCGTTGATATGGGCATGGGTGCCGTCGGTACTGGCTTTGGTGCTGGTGCTGCTACCATAGATTCGATGTGGGCATCCTTTTGGAACGAGCGCTTCGGCATGCCGCCACCAGCCGCTCCTTGGGTTGGTGCTCAGGCAACAGGGATGAACGGTCCTCGAAATGGTCCGACCGCTGCAGCAGAACGGAGCTCGAGCTGGATCCGGGGGGACGACCACGCCAAGCCGGTTCGCGGACCTCCGCCACAAGACTCGGGTGCACATCCTCCGCCAAGGCCTCAGCCATGGAACCGCTATCGCAACCGGGGCAGTCGTGAGGACCATCACGATGACGGACATGCAGTCTTTGTGCACAGTGAAGATGACAACTACGACGACTATGACCACCACCGATATCCGCGTGATCGCCGTGACTACCGCGACGACTACGATGACCGTGGCCCAGTCAGAAGTGCTCCGTACCACGACGACTACCCACCGCGGCGCCGGTCACTCAGCCCGCCCTACCATACGCAAGACCGCCGCCGGCAGTACCATGAACAGCAGCGACAGCAGCGTCCTCGCTACCACCCTGACGACTCGCCGCCTCGGGGCTGGGAGCGCGAAGATCGAGACCGAGGCGAGCCAAGAGGGTCGCCCAACTTGCATGGTGGATCGTATGAACAGCAGCCCTCACAGCCGCCATACCGCAACGCTTTTCACCCTTATTACGACCAGCCGCGGCGCCCGTCAGTTTCCAAGGGGGCAACAACTGCCGAGTGGGGCTGGCCAGGCGACGTCAAGCAACCACTTGATCCTCAACAAACGCAGCTACCACAAATGACACCCCAGATGCCGCCCATGTTCCCACAGGCCCCGCCACCGCACAACAGCCATCCGGCACCAGGCTGGGACGGGGGCTGGAACGAGACCTACCGCCAAAGCCGCGGCCATGCCGAGTTCGCCATGACTGAAATCAACGGCTAAATGGGAAACGGTTGGGCTTCCATGTATGCGTTGTCTTCATATTTGTTTCGTTTTTGTATGTTTTCTCTTTCGCGTATACCCTGTACTCGAAGCATTTCGATGCCTTGTTGCCGCAAGTTACGTTATTTTTTAGAAGACTTTTTGTTTTGTCCTTGCGTTCTGTATTAAAAACTGGGCTCTTTACGACATGATGACCTGTCTTCTTTTGGATTTTTTTGCTTTTTGTTGGGGCGGCAAGGGAATGTGCTTGGCGGCTGTTGTGCATTACACTCCAAATTGCTTGCGGTGTGTTCCAGCCGTCAATTATTGTACTCCAGACATGCGTCCACAAAATATTTTCCCGTTTAGACAGATGAGACAACACAAATTTTAATGGTTCATGATTTGTTCAATCCATTTCCTACCCATTGCATCTTCTTCTGGCAGTTATGCCTATAACGACCGGATTGTTGTATATCTATTGGCATTTTTATCGATGAGAGTAGAAATGTTAACATATGAAAATTCGTTTCTTGAAATTTTCAAGGGTCGTTTTGTTTTCTTTAAGTGAAAAGAAGGCACAAAGCAAGGCAAAGGATGTGGAAAACCAAATGAATATCGTTGCAGTCCTAGAATCATATTGAAAATGGAAGGACAAAAATAGGTATGACATTTTATGCAACAAATACCATGTTCAGGCAAGTGCTCAAATACAGTTAGCCTTGCCTCGACAGGAAATCTGCTTAGGAAGTATAAAATTGTAAACTAGAAGAAGCGAGAGCTTGCTATATGCGTCTTGAATGTAAAATGGTATAATGATGAAATATTCGAGACATGACTGAAAATGTGTTTCGAAATCGACAAAGCGAATGGGTTTGCAGACAATGCAGCATGGATGTTAGAGATAAATAAGAAATAACAAAGGAAACAGTAAAAGAGTGGTAACAATAAATTGCAAAAATAGGCCAAAAAAAAAAAAAAAAACGAAAGTGTATGTATTGCTTTAGCAAAGGGCTAAAGTGAAGTCAACACCAGAAAGAGAATGAAATATGTGCTCAGAAAAAGAAATATGTGTTCATGATGCTGCTGGACAAGATGCAGGCTCTCAAATCTGCATGAGCGGCCAAAGTGCTGCATGCTCGCCTCTGACGCCACGGTAGCCTCCGTGATCGAGGCTCTCCCTCTGTCGTTTGGAATCAGGACGAGAAAGCTCAGTTTGACTTTGTGCAACATGTGCCTGTGTCAGTTCTTGGGCTTGCTGGGCTTGCATATTCGCTACCTGCACGTGTGGATGAGCATGACTAGTGCCACGAGTATGGTCTTGCATCACAAGATGACCCTGGTCGAATTGGGTATGTAGCTGAGCCTGGGCTTGTGCTTGTGCTTGTGCTTGCGCCTGTGCCTGGGCTTGAAGCTGTGCTTGGACTTGAGCTTGCGCGATGCTGGCTGCAGCCTGAAGGACGTTCTGGGACTGTGGAGGAAGTGCCGTTGTAGATACCATTGACACGGGCACCACGGCACCTAGGTCATTGACGGCTAGACTGTCGTTCTTGTAGTCGTTCATAGTCATGATTCGTTTGGCTGGCAGGGCACTGATGCCACCGGTCACAATTTGTCCACTGGCTAAGGCACCCGTAGAGCTTACGGATGCTGTGCTCGCTGCTTTGGAGATTGTGGTGGATTCGTCGATTCCATGTTTGTCACGGCGATGTGTTTTGAGATTGTCAAGTCGACTAAAACTCTTCTTGCAGCCGGGTATGTCACAAGAAAGACGAAGGCCTTTATGAACGTTCTTGTGTTTGCGTAAGTATCCCCGTAGGTTCTCACGGACGCCTCGAGGCTTCCAATTGCATTCGTCGCATACCAAGTCCTCAGGATCGATGTCATCGTCGATGGTCGACGTAGGTGTCTTCGGCGGCTGTAATGATGCCCTCGAGCTGGATGGATGGCGCTGGTGGCTGACTGGTTTGGTCCCTGTTTGTGATACCCCTGTGCCAGTGAACTCAAATCGCGGATTGGCTGCATGCGCTGTCAACGACGACATTTGAGAGGACGACGGAGGGAAAAGCCCGCCGTGAAGCGGTTTTTGGCTGTTAATATGTGTCGGGGGCTCCTGGACCGCGATTGGGATGGTTGGTGGACCGATCTGGTGTGGATAGGTGTCTCGGTGTTGCTGGGGGTGTTGGGCTGGAAGATGGCCTGATGCAATGGATGGAGGCCTTTGCATGAAAGACGCGACTTGCTGGTTAACAGGTCGAGTTGGTGTTGGGAGTGGGCGACTTGGCAAGCCATCCATGTCAATATCCATTGACACCGCCAGTGAGTCATGCGGATTCGAATCTATTCGATGGGGATTGTGAGGCGTATGTTGGTTCGCTATATTTTCAAAAGTTGTCGGTGGATTGTGCAATGGGTTGGATATTGTGGTAGTTGTAGAAGGTAGTGAAGGTCCTGTGGTCAGGACAGGTCCCGGGATATGATCGAGGCTACCATCGGTGGGAACAGGAGCCAATACGACGGAGGCAGTTGCATTTTGATTGTTATGGTACCAGTTATGTCGCTCGTCCAATATGAGATTCTCGGTTTGGTCAAAATCTCCTGAAGCTGGTGTTGACGCAAAGGAACTAGGCACCGTTAGGCGGTCGTCCCCCTTTGAAGGCGATATTGGTGAAAATACACTCGTGCCTGATCTCTCATTCATAAGAAGAGGTGCGGTGGATGGGGGCGACTGTAAAGAACACATATCTGACGATACATTTGCCGGAGGTTCACCTGCAAAACCTGCCGCAATAAGTTGAGCAGCATCTGGTGAGAACGAAGGCAGGATCTGTGCCGCGAATAATGATCCCTGTGATGTGTTTGTCGATGAAGGAAGGGATGGAGTCTGGTCAAACGTTGTCGATGGCCGGGTAGAGGAAATGTTGCTTGTGTCGCTAGAGTCTATGTCTGTTGACCACATCATAGACGCGCTTCGGTCATCCATGCTACTGCTTACTGCTCCTGCATTGCCGAAGCTATCACATGAGCAAGCAGCAGCCATTGTAGATATTCCCGCTCCTGACCCCGGCTTCACACCGATTCCCTGCTGGTGGTGGTGGTGCTCGCTCGTGACAAAACATCCTTCGTCGAATGTGCACGTATACCCCGATGCATTTGCAGTCCCAGGTGTAGAGTCGAGCCCATGGTTTGCTCCTGGGGGATGTGAAAATGTGGGCACCATCTGCTGGTCAACTCTGTACGCCGTCTGCAACTCTTGTATTGAACGAGGCGAGAGCATCTGTGCTTGGTCTAGGCCGAGAAATTGATTCCATTCACAGGCATCCGTCGAAGCTAGAAATTTTTCCGAGTGGTGGATGGTCGAGCCGATGCCGTCCATATCAGCTGTTGTGCCGGTCAATGTTGGAGATGAAATCATCGAGGATGTGGACGTTGGATGGGGCGTCTGATCCAGGCCGGCATTTCCCACAGGGCCAGCACTGGACACTGAGAATCTGCGATTCGAGTTTCGTCGACGAAGCGTAAGGGTATCCGTCAATGTTTCTTTCATCTTTGATCCAAGGCTCCGTTTCCTTTGAAAGCCTACTGCTGTCGACTTCCAGCCTGCCCATTCAGTCCACTCCTTCTCCGTCGTAGGAAACCGGTGCCAGCTGCAGCATTTCCAACACTCAAACTCGCCCTTTCCGAGCTCCGGACACGTAAATAGGTGCTGGACAAGAAAAAGGGGCTCTGTGAACGAGGATTCGCACTTTGTCATTGGGCAGTAGTAGCCCTGTGAACTGTGCGAGTAGATTATCTTCTGCTCAACAAACTCGCGCAGAAATGTGAGAACGATGCGAGCAGTCGTTGGGTCGGTGACGACCTTCTCTTCGTAACTATTAACCGTCAGCTGGAGTGAATTGTTGCCATGACTTGTTGTCCAAGGCATACTTACGGGCATGTTGTGTTTTGAGCGAGGCCCAGGCCACCATTCGAAGCTCGAATATCCATCTTGGGTAGTGGCAAGGATCAACAAGCAAAGTAACATGCTTTCTGGCCGTAGTCCATCCCTTTTCTTTTCCTTTGATTTTCACCACACGTGAAAAAAGCAAAGGACCAAGGGCAGGCGTCAAAATTCAAAATGATTAAGTAGCGCCTTTGCGGCCAGTTTCTGTGCTGGCTTGGCTGTGCTCTGGACTGTGGCTCGAACGTTGACACCCGAATGACTGAATTTCAACCGGTATCGTATTGAGAAGGAAACGCGTAGAGGTTTGGGGCCGTTATATTTCTTGATGACGCTGTCGTCGACGTATGTCGTTGATGCCCTTGTGTTTTGGTCGTAGATTTGCAGTCGTTTCCAATCTGGATCCTTTCTACATCATGTTCCGGTTGTCGACACGAGACGTTAAATTCTGTTTTGCCCGGGGTGAAGTAGTGAAAATCTTTCCGAACGGGGATACCCTCCGCCTTTTGTGGTTGAACGACTTAAATGATTTGCATTCGCCCGCGGTTTGTACCGATGGCAGGTTGCGGATGGTGGCGGTGGTATAATGGCTGGGGGACGGGGTGAATGGGGGCAGGATGTTTAATAGAAGTAAGAAAATAATACAGGAGAAGTATGAATCAGAGGGGCTGCGAGTGCGGGAGCGTCGCGTACAGACGAAACCGTGCACTCACCGTCAGTGGCGCAACATGTCTGAGTCTTCTTTTTCTAGGCAATATGGCAAGAGGTGAGACTTCGAGGCAAGCGGATCACGGAGAAGCAGCACAGATGGGGAAGGCATGTGAGCTCTGCTGGCGTTTGAATGTGAAGGCACATAAAACGTAGAGCCGCGAGTGTATTTCAAGGGGTACAGAAGGTGAAGAAATTGCCCAGACTCAGAGCCAACATCGACAGCGGAATGAAGGACCTTTGTTTCCCCACGGCGTCTCCCGCGCCGGGTGCATCTTAAAACTTAAAGCGTACACCGGCATTTGCAAGCCTTTTCTGGGGATGATTATGGTGTTGGCCAGGAGAAAGACTCCAGACTCCAGACTCCAGACTCCAGACTCCAGGCCGCAATAACTTGGCCGCCCAGGAGGATGGGTACTCTTGGACCTTTTTGGCTACCGTTTAGTCGTCTCGAGCATGACTTGTGGGAAAATGTGAGAGAAAATTATGTGAAATCACTGTGGAAATTGGGGGAGTGGGGATGGAAGAAACACAGTCGACTTCAATGGTGATAACAGACGGGATGGGGGGTGGGCTAACTTGGAAGGACAGATGGGGCGCGATGGGTCACCATGGCGTTTAGGCCGCATCTCAGGATACGTGTGGTCGTGGATGAAGTCGTCAACAGGTTAAAAGGGGGACAGCGAGCAAAGGGGTGTCGAGAGGGACAGGCTCCTGGGTACCGTGGCAGGTTAGTAAACACTGGATGCATAGCGAAGTAGAGAAGGTACCACCACCTTCTACCCCCTTTTCCCATCGCAGATGGCGGGTGGCCAAAAACGGGACAGCCGCCAGAATGGACGATGGAGGTAACGGGCCACTCGGAAGTCATGATATATATTAAATGGAACGAATACGGCAGAGGGAGGGCTGGCTGGAGGAGATGCGGCAGACAAGAAATAGCGGCCAAGGAGAAGGCCAAGACGAGGGATAAAGACAATGAGGGGAAGCAGTAGAGTAGAAATGGCAGGCAGTGAGGCCAGAATTGAAGCGGCACCAGGCAGAGAGACAAGAGGTGGCATTTGGCCAGTCCAGTCGGCTAGATTGCGCAGGTATTAACCGGGTTGGATTGACCCGGGATCATGACCCATCTAGGCAGGTCAAGCTTCGTACCGAAAGACTTGGCCAGCGCATATTAAAGAAAACCACAGAAGCAGAAAAACGGTGTCGATGTGGTCACGTCCGTTTGTGGCATTACGTCGTTTGCAATCAACGTTCTTCTTGCGTTGGCGTGACCACTCGTGTGTGCGCACGGGGCAGATTGGTGATGGTGCAGAGGGTCGTGTGTCTGGTGATGTTGTAATGTTGACAGTTTGCAAAATTTGATAAAAGAGAACCCGATCTTTAGGCGAGTCGTGCTGAGTTTTGTGCTTGTGTTTTTTCGTCTGTTTTTTTTTCACTTGCCCCTTTTACTGTTCAGTTACCTTTTTGGGAAGTAGCAAGTCGCGATGCAGTATGTTCCTGCCTTCTTCGCTGATCGGCGCGGCAGACATGTTTCCAAGTCAAGAACGGGTTAACAAACTGAGACGCGCCTTCCTTCCCTGGCTACGGCGAAGCACATTATGAAATCCAAAGGGAAAGAATGATCTTGGGGGTTAAATGGATAAGAAACAGCGCCTCAGATGAGATGACAAAAGCCAAGATGCACCCGTACCTTTCCTTTTTTTTTCTTTTTTCAATGAATTGTAGCCCGTTTTGACTGAACTGACGTGGTAAAGAGGTACCAATTGTTTCTAGCGGCGCAGCGCATATCCGTAAGTCCACTTCTAACACGTCTCTTTAAATTTCACCACCGTCAGTTTCTCGAGACTCTGTCCGCATCGCTCCTTCCCCTGCCGAGAGTTGTAAAATTGTTCATGCCGTCTTTTTGGCCTCTTGTTGTTCGCTCTCACTCTTTTTGGTGCCAGTGGGGGGATGAACTTTCCGCATCGGTCTTGGTGGCCAAAATTGCCAGAAGACTGTCGCCCAATTTCCTCCCGCGAACTGCGAAGGCAGGAAATGGAGCACGAGCGACCACAAATAGAAATCCTGTACTTAATTTATTTCCATGTCGTGTGAGGTGGTTTTCTCCGGAATTGTCTTGGTATCTTGGGAAAGGTTTTGGTGTGGGTACGTAATCTGTTACATTTTCGTCCGGTGTAGATGTGAATCGTAAGCAAGAGCGTTCCAAAAACAGATCATGCAGCGACAAACAAGGAAGGAGCTATGATTACCAGTTTCGATGCGTGTACGACAAAAGTGTGAGATAGTGTCCAAGGTTGCAAATTACTAGACAGAAGGAGGCATGCGGAAAGCGCGAAGGTGGAATCGACGGTTGTCGGTTGTCGGCAGGATGAACTTTCCGTTTGGGGAACCGCTACGCCAGCGGATATCTTATTGAAATAATGTCAGAAATTCAAACAGAAGGAAAACGTCGATAATGAAATAATTGTACAAAACTAAATAACAGGCATAGATCTTGCTGGGAGACTGTAAGTCAAAATAGTGCCAGTACCTACCCGGTTTGAATTTCTGAGCATTTTACCTGCGTGTATAAGTCCACGAGCATATTTTATCGACCTAGCATTTCCCTTCTGCTAGTATTCTATATCGACCGTCTGTCAGCCCCTTTCTTTGCACAAGAAAGAGGTTCGGCGCCTTGACTTACACTTGTCGCGCTTAGTAGCAGTTCCTTAAATCAACATGGTAACGTTGTCACATAATCGTGGGATCAGCTCACATGTGCTTGTAGTAGCCGTGTATACATCCTTGTACGGTAGTGGATGTCACAAAGTATTAACTGTACACGTCCTCTCTTCTAAGATGCCGTGTTATTTGGCACATCTCCGTCTACATCTATGATATGTTGAGCCGTTGCTTCTCAGAAGTCCATTTGGAGTCTTTTTTTGCTTGGTTTTGGGATTCACAATACCTAAGTGTACAACGAGAGAGTTGCAGATAGGCAACACAATCGGCGATGATATGCCACGCCATGGACAAGTGTGTACCGAAAGGCACAGGTCGAATCTCGTAGACAAAGCCCAAGTTCAACAAACTATAGAATCCTGGGTAGACCCGATGAACATACCGCCCAACACAGCCTCTTAACTCGGTCTGTTTTATAATGAATACGTAAGTCCCACGGTCCATCTCTTTGCGCCTTGGCATTAACTTTGGAAGTTCTCACACCCAAGTCTATATGTCATCTGTGCAAGATTGGCCTGCAAAAAATGTAAAAATTACATACAGAACAGAGAGACTGGCGTACAATCATCTCACAGTAAAGGCACGAGACGTGTACTTTTGTGTCGTAATTTTCTAGCCCGCCCGTGCCGCAGGTCGCTGGGAAAATAAATTGGAAATTCAAAACAGCCATAGAGCCAAGACGTCGAACCGATGAACCCGGTAGGCCAGCTGCGGGGCCGCAATCGTATTTTTGAGCTTCGCACAATACACATAATATATCGGACGCCGGCGTCGGTCTGCCTTACGCGAGGTTTATGGCATGTCTGCGCCTGGTTTCAAATTGTTGAGAATAGGGATAATGAAAAAGAGGGAGGTCCTTTCGGTTCCTCTCCGGGCGGCACGCTTCAGTTTTCCCCTTTCAAACTGTATCTCTCGACAATCTTCCCCGGTAGGATCTTTGTATCAAGCTGGCTCACGGTAATATGTTGTATCCTTTCATTCTGCTTTTCCTTGGACACCTATGGGCCTGCACCTTTTTTTTCGTTTGCTTAGGGACGAGGCCTTATTGACTGCGCCGTACATTGACTATATTATCACAGTACCATCTATGTCTGTATATGATAGCTTCACCAGAGAATCACTACTTTGAAATGCCAATATGATCCAAGTTACCCAGGCCATCACTGACGTCGGTATCTACTAGCTCCTCGCAGCGGGCCGCCTTCATCTAGCGGGAAGGGAGTTCTTGGTGATAATCACCGACAGAAAAGGGGCCACAACAAAGGGCCGGCAGAGGTTCCGGTTCAATTGTTCCTCACCGTATACTCGTTGTCTGCTTTGCAGTCTTCCTGATCAAAAGATCTGGGGTAAAATCCTTTGTCTTGGATTAAGGTTATGAGACATGGAGCTGCTGCAGGACGAACTGCCATATGCTCTCCCTGATTTTCCCGATACGGAATGTTGGCCGCGGAACCTTCTCATTCTCGGAAAGTTTGAGCATGAACTGCCAGCCATGATGTTATCATCTCGAACAATGATGTGCGTCCCTGTAAAGGTATATTTTATTATTTTCACGTACAAGTCTCATGCGAATGGCCAGGGCCATAATAGCATCGAGAGGCAATTATTGTTGTAGATGGGGTAAAATTTTGTTTTGGCTCCCTTACACATTGGAACTATTGTATTATTGCACTTAGTTTTCTGAGACTTGGCCTTGTTTTTTTCAAAAAAAAAGGAATATAAATAAAACAATGCCCAGCCTAGGAACAACCAAACACGAACATGTCGCAACGTAACATCCCGCCCTGTGAGGGGATCCCAGGCATCGGACCTCTCCAAGCCCGACATTAATGGCCAACTTAAGGCTGTTCTCTGGCTCACCTCAAGAGCAAAATGCTTGACGGGGCCTCAGCCGCTGGGCCCATTTCTCCTCACTGGAGTACTTTTTTGGATTGCCTAAAATATATAAACAGACATGCCAAGGCACTTTTGATGGACTCTGATGAAAGCGGAGTAATACGGAGTGTTCACGTGGAGAGTCATCTGAAGGCCCGAGTGAAGATACCAAAATCAGTACAAGTAAAAGAGGTGGAATACGTACATGGGAAGTAAAAGACAAAATAAGACGATAGGCGGTCGTGGCCGAGGCCGAAGCGAGGGGGCGATTAATCTACGTTTTCCGTATTCTTCGCCATGTCCACTGCAACGCTACAAGTGCTGTCTCCCCCGGGATCCTCGCGCTGGCAGTTCTTGGGGTCGGTTCGTGTTCGCAAAGAGGTTGGTTCATCACGGGGGGCCAGGTAGAACCAAACCTAAAAGATAAAAATAACAAGGAAGAAATCGAAGTACAGTACATGCGTTGACACCTGCAGCCTCTTGCATTTGCGCGGCTGACACTACCAACATGCCGATGCGGCCAAAAAGAGCCAAGCCCCCCAAGATCCCGACAATCCAAGTGACCCAGGATTTATTTCTGCTCGAGGCGGCGAGTGGGCAGAAACACGAATCAAAACCAGCCCCCTCGCGGCGGTACACCGAAACCAAAGGGCTTGGCCTTGGGAATTTATTTCTTCTGGCCACATTTATTTTTCGTCCTTTTTTTTGGTTTGTCATTGTCCTGGTTTTCAGCTATTGAAGATAGCAAAATAAACAACCCCACACCAGCATCTCTTTTCGGCCCTATCCTTACGATCACCTGCGCCATCTCAGGTCTTTTGTACTTTGGTAGGCTCTTCCGTAGAGCAAGTACAAATCGTATTGGTATTTCTTGGGTGCTCTTCCTTCCACTATCAAGCCGCCATCCTTCAGCTACCTTCCAGTTCGTTCATACGAACCAGCAACCACGCTCATCCTTGACGTCGTCGTCAGCGTTGCTCGTCTTGTGACGACAACTGCATACCGTCTTGGGCCGACAAGGAGGCTTGGCCACGGCGTGTGCTCGGACACACTTGGCGATGACACGGATCGTATTGGGATGACTCCAATTTACAAAGTTCACCGATGGTGGCTGGTCTTTACCTCGAAATCTTGAGAACACGAGGCTCCTTTCACTTGCGGACTACAGAGTATACTAAGGAAAGAAAAAGACAAACTCCTATTGAATCTAGATGTACCAAAACCCATGCTATGCCAAAGTATTGTGACCACCACCTCAATCGCGTCAGTCGTCCAACAGACCTGTTGCCAGGGCCTCCAGGTCTTCCAGGTTGTCCGGCATGGCGTCCATCTCAAACACCTTGTGCTTGTCCTTCTTGGACGTCTTGGCCTTCTTGGTCGTCCTCTGCTGGCCGTCGCTGTCGACGTCGCTGTCGTTTTGGAACCACTTCTTCTGCTTCTTCTTGGCGGGTGCAGGTGCATCTCCTTCTGAGCCATAGCCGTTGTCGTACGCGCTGCCGTCGCCGTTCTCGCCGGCCATGGGCAGGGACCGCAGCAGTGCCAGGCCGTCGTCGCCGTCGTCGCCAAACTGGCCGCTGCCGCCAATGTAGGCGCCGCCGTCCATGTCGTCTTCGTCTTCGCCTCTGTCTCCGTCGGCTTCGCCGTCGCTCTCGGCCGCCTCGCCCCGCTCGCGCGCCTTGCGCTTGAGCTTCTTCTCGCGGCGCTTGGCCTTGGCCAGGGCCTTGTCCTCGACATCGGCCGTGCGGACACGGTCGGCTTCGGCCTGGACGAACTGCTGGCGCTGCGCTTCGGGTGCGCCCTGCTCCCGGAAGTGGGCCTCGTCGCGGAGCTGGTAGAGGGGCTGGGCGTTGCCGTCGTCGTCAAACACCATCTTGGTGCCGGTGCCCTGGAACTTGAGGAGCTGCTTTTTGGATTTGAGGAGCTTCTCGCGGCGCTTGGAGTCGATAACGAGATCGCGCTCGCCGCCGAGATGGAGGACCTTGGCGGTGGTAAAGTTGGAGGGATCGGCGGCGGCGGATTGGCTGCCCTTAGGGCCGCGCAGGCCGGCCGCCTGCGTGAGGGCATCGTCGTCCATGACGCGCTTGGCGGCAAAGAAGTCGGCCTCGTCGGCGTTGTCGGTTGTCCCCGGTGCCTCGTTGCCCTCCTCGCCAATGAGGTTCTGGTAGTGCTTGGTGAGCACGTCCTGGTTGGTCCGCTCAAACATGCGCTGCGCCTTGGTGCGCACCTCGTTTTTCTTTTTGTCCTTGCTCTTGTCTCTGGTCTTCAGGCCGCCTTCGCCGTCTGACGCGTCTTCGTCCTCGGAGCCGCTCGACAACATCGCCCGCGACCGGTTCTTGATCGTCTTCACGTCCTCGCCCTTGTCGCCCTTGCGGAATTTGATCTGCGGCGCACCCGCGAGGCCGAGGGACTTTGCAAACCCATCGAGATCCAGCTCGTCCAGCTTAAAGACGTCCTTGTCCTTTTGCAGGTGGACCGACCGTGTGTAGGAGATAAAGGCCTTTTGCGCCAGGTACTTGACATCGTACTGCTGGAAACACATATTTTGCAGCTGGTCCTGGATGTTCTGCTTCTTCGTCTCGCGCACGTTGACCTTTTTGATGGGGACCTTTTTCTGCTCCAGCCGCTTGATCATGCCGGCCTCTTCGCTGGGGTCCAGGAACAGAATCGCCTTGCCGGCGCTCTCGTACCGCGCCGTCCGACCGCTGCGGTGGATGTAGGTGTCGGCGTCTTCGGGGCAGTCGACCTGGACGACCCAGTCAACCATGGGAATGTCGACGCCACGGGCGACGACGTCGGTGGCAAAGAGACATGCGTGCTTCGCAGCGGCGAAGCGGCGCAGAATCTCGAGACGGGCGACCTGTTTTTGGCGGCCGTGCAGGTGCAGGAGCGAGATACCCGGCTGCATCTGGCGGAAGGCCTCGTAGGCGAAGCGGACCTGCTTGCCCGACGAGAAAAAGACAATCATCTTGGACTTGAGGTTCGACCGGATGAAGCCATAGAGCGTGTCCAGCTTCTCGGGAAGGGGTGTGACGACGTAGTGTTGCTGTAGTTGGCTGGGCGTGGCGGCGGCCGCGGCTTCGTGCACAGCAATGTACTCGGGTGACTGGAGACTGAGGCGGGCGAGATCAGACACTTTGCGGGTCTGAGTGGCACTGAACAAAAGTGTCTGGCGGGACTGAGGGAGGTGCTCGACCAGGGCGTCGACGGCCGCCTTGAAGCCCATGTCCAAGATGCGATCCGCTTCGTCCAGGACGAGAATCTGCAGGTTGTTGACGTCCATGGTGGCCGTCTGGTCGAGGTGCTGCAGCATCCGGCCCGGCGTGCAGACAAGAATGTTCATCCGCCCAACCCGTTCAGCCTCCTCTTGCAAACTCTTGCCACCAATCACCAGACCGGCCGAGAAGCCATGGTGCCGTCCCACCTTGCGCAGCTCCTCAAAAATCTGCGCCGAGAGCTCTCGTGTCGGAGAGACAATCAGAGCGCCCAGTCCGTCCAGCTCCGTCCACCGCGCGCGGTACAGCTTCTCGAGCACGGGCACGATGAAGGCGAGCGTCTTGCCGCTGCCAGTCTTGGCGGCCCCGAGGATGTCGGGTCCTCTGAGGGCGGTGGGGATGGCACGTGCCTGGATGTCGGTCAGGGAGACGAAGTGGGAGTCTCGCAGGCCAGCGGCGGTGGGCTTCGACAGGGGAAGTTCGGTGAACTGCTCCGGGATAGTCTTTGGATCGAGCTCGTCGACGGCTTTTTGGAGGGCTTCGATGCTTTCGACCTCGCGCTTGCGCTTGAGTTTGCGGTCGACTTTTTGTGGCCGCGGTTGTCTGCGGGTCGAGGACTTCCCGTTGGGAGTCGCCATGGTCGCAACAATTCCGGTGCGGTATGTAGATATGGTTGTCGTGGTCGTCAATAGGGCGAGAAGGACGAGACGAAACCAAAGAGTGTGCCTCACTTAAGGTGTTTTCAGGCGGTTGCGACTTCCCAAAGAGTGCATCAAAACTTCAACTTTTTCTGCCGTATTCTACTTTTTTGTGGGGCATTTTCAAAAATTATGGGCCCATTGTGTGTCCACTCGACTTGGGCGGTGAAGGCCGGGCTGCACACTGACTCCTTACACCAAATAAACACCAAATGCCTAAATACAGCACCGTCTTCAGCATAGTCGGTGCTGTAAGTACTGGCGACAATTATATGTCGGTACGGATACAACCGAAGGTGAAACACTGCGTCAAAAATCGAATAAATTCAAGAACTCCTCTGTCTTTTCAAGACATTCAAGAGACTTTCCACCAGCTCTTCAACCTTTATCTCGATTTCTTCAGCCGCCACAGTTGCTGTACATGTACACTGCTGCCCTGAAAGAGGTGGGGCGCGGCACACTGTGGCTCGCCGCTAATTCAGGGCCTTAATGCCGACGAGAAGCTCGCGGCCCGAGGCCGGGCAAACGAATCGACCAGAACCAGGAACCAACAAGCTAGACGACTGCTTGTCATGCGCGACAAAACGGCAGCAGTGTATTTGGTCCAACCTGAATGACAATTGGAACACGACTGCATCGACCACAGCACGCCCTCTCCTATCCAAAATATCTCGCCGCGTAAGCCCCAACGGCTCCATTTCCCCCGCAATTTCAACCGCAGACGACCTGGACTTCGGACGGCGAAGCTTCGCAGGTTCACGCGAGCAGCTCAAGGCCCAGCCTGTTTGATGGAATAGACACGACGCCTCGACGAAACAAGAAAGTCGCTTCGATCGCCATTGGCGCTTGTGCAGGCATGGCAGCCCGGGCAGGTGCCTGTCCGGCGGCTGCTGGACGGATGGGCCGGCAGTTGAAGACGACGTTGCTGAAGAGCGCTATGCCGGGTAGGACGACGTTGGAGCTTGCAGGTGTTTGGCCACAACGGACAGCCAGGCACGTGGTGAGTGTGCCGCAACGAGGCATGGCGATGTCTGCAGCGAGGAGCAGCGTTGGGTCGCGCGCGGTATTTTGTCCCAGATGCGACCATCCCGCGGGCCGGTGGTACTCGTCCTCCTCCGACAAGCCGCCCAAAGACGACACCCTACCCTCCATCATACATGCTCCCCCACCACCCGAATCACCTTTGCCCGCCTCGTCGCAGCCACCGCCGCTGCCCAACACAGATGCGCCCTCGGCCCCGAAGTCGGACGAGCCACAACCACACGCAGAAACAGCCGAGACGGACAAGGTCAAGATGGAGGGCGCGTCTGCGACGGCCAAGCAGCCACCAGCGGCAGCCAACAGCAAGAGTGAAACCGCTGCCGACGACTCGTCCTCGTCCTCGTCGCTCCCCTCGTTTGTCGAGTCTCGCCGGTCTGCCCTCAATGCCCGCTTCAGCCGCTTCATGGACGACCTGCAAGCGCGCTTCGTGTCGGCCTCCCAGACGCTGAGCGACCTCACCGGCTATACCGCCATCGAGCACATCAAGGCCAACAACGCCCGGCTCGAGACCGACCTGGCCACTGCCCAGGCCGACCTGCGCGTCGCCCGCCGTGCGTACCAGGCCGTCAACGAGCGCCGCGCCGCCACCCAGCGCGAAGTCACGACCCTCCTGGCGCGCAAGGACAGCTGGGCGCCGCCGGACCTCGAACGGTTTACCGTGCTGTACCGCCAGGACCACGAGCTGGAGACGAGCGCGCAGCGCGCCGTGGAGCAGCTCAAGGAGGCAGAAGCCGACGAGTCGCGGTTGAGCGCCGCGCTGACCTCGGGCATCCTGAAGCGGTACCACGAGGAGCAGGTCTGGAGCGACCGGATCCGGCGCCAGAGCACCTGGGGCACCTGGGGCCTGATGGGCCTCAACGTGATCCTGTTCATCATCCTGCAAGTCGTTGCGGAGCCGTGGCGGCGCAGGCGCCTGATGCGCGGCATTGCCGAGGCGGAGTCGGGCGTCCTGGAGGATGTGCGCAAGGAGCTGGCGGACGTGCGCGCGGCGCTGGCAACCGTCTCGGGCGCTGCTGTATCGACGACAGGACCGGCCGACATCCCACTTGCCGGCGATGCCGACGCAGCAGCAGTAGACCTCTCCTTGGCAGAGCAGCCTACCCTCACATCCACCGCCGACGCGCTCCCCTCGCCACCGCTCCGGCTGCAGCTGTTCACCTTGTCTTGGCCAACATCGTGGCATGATGTCGTGGCCTTTGGACCCGATCCTGTCCGGTGGAAGGCATGGGCACAGGATATTGCCAGCGAACGCACGGTCAACGTGCGGATGCGAGATGTGTCCATCGTAGCACTGCAGAGTGCCATCGCGGGAGCTGTTTTTGTCGGCGGTCTGGTGCTTGCTTTCCGGTAGGAAGCGTTATCCTACCTGCGAACTGTAATATTAGCGATTGTCAAAAGAAAATCCGAAGAGGCACTGTACATAGATTATGTATAAAACACTGATGTTCAAAAAGTAGAAAACATACATCAATATATGAAAATCCAGGCTTTATTAAAACGCTCCAAGCAACTAATACGTGGCTGGCATGTTGTAGAAGAGCAAAACTGCCGCCCAAAGTGAACAATGACTTCGGTGAAAATGGATATATCGACATGAAAAATGTTGGAACGCGCAAAGCTTGAAATGGCGCGCAGAAATAACGCGACAGAAAGAAATTACAAAAATAGCGATGGCTGGTCAGAAGAAGCCTGAACAACAAACAACGTGAGCCAGGTGGAACCGCCCGACCGCCGGTCTCGCCAGGGGCTCTCTCGCGACGTCCGTCGCCAAACTTGTACTCGCTGAGAAAGCTGACATCCAAAAACATATCGACTTTTTCTATGTCCGTATCCAAATAACACATTAAGTCGCTCGAGTGTAAAACAAAATCTCGCGACATAAAACAAGCTGCAAGCTCCAATTCTCTCCCTCAAAAAGGTGGCATGAAATGAAATGAAAATCTAAAACCAGAAACAAAAGTCTGGATATCGTCAAATTCCAGTGCTTGCCGGAGCTACACAAAGTCTGCCGTGTATGAGAAGCCACGGAACTCCTCCTGCATCGCTTGTGACAGTACTGTAAAGGCGTTAGTAAAGCGTCTCACAGAGTCCCTGACATGGATACGAAACCAGCTATACATACCTGATTGAACGGGCGTCAAAACGGGCGTCACACTCGTGAACTCCGAGTCGAAGTTGCTGGTATCCGTAGGGTTCTTGATGGTCGGCAGGAACGGCGGCTGCACACGCTTGTGGTAAATGTCGTCCCAGTTGATGTTGCGGAAGAACGGTTGTGACATGATCTCCTGCGCGTCCGTCGGGCCACTGCCCAGGCGCTGGTCGGGATCGCGCGTGAGCAGCTTTTGCAGAATTGAAACCGAGTCTCTGGGCATGTGGATCGGGTACAGGGGCTCGTCGCCCAGAATGGCGTCGTAGATTTCGTCTTCATCCTCGCCACGGAACGGAGACTGTTGCAGTAGCATCTGGTAGATTAGCACACCAAACGCCCACCAATCAACAGCGCGGCCGTACTTCTTGTCGAGAAGAATCTAGTACCGCAAGTTAGCAATTCGTACAAAAAAGACGTATAAGAGATATCAGGTGGGCAGCAAACATACCTCGGGCGCCATAAACTCGGGAGTACCACAGAAAGTGCTGGTCGTCGAACCGTACCACATGTCCTCCTTGCAGAGACCGTAATCGGCAATCTTGATGTGGCCATCCAGCGTCAACAGAATGTTGTCGAGCTTCAGATCGCGGTAGATGACACCGTTCTCGTGGAGGTACTTGAGCGCCAAGCAGACTTCACTGGCGTAGAACTGGGCCCGACGAGTACCGAACTGGCCACGCTGAATGTGCAGCATCAAATCACCACCGCTAATGTACTCCATCACAAAGTATACACGCGTCTCGGTCTGGAAACAAGCGTGCAGGTTGGTCAAAAACGGATGCCGTTCCCGGTTGGCAACGAGTAGCACTCTTTTCTCTGACCGTATGCTCTCCACTTCATCGTTCTCAATGATGAACTCCTTTTTCAAGACCTTGATGGCGTACAGCCTATTCGAGCGCTTTGTCTCGGCCAGCATGACCTTTCCGAAGTTACCCTTACCGAGAACCGCAAGGAAGTTGAAGTTATCGAGGCCAATGCGCTGGCCCGTGCCGGGGTCGGTCGCTGATGGCAGCGGCTTCTTGACGCCAGGTCCAGTGACATCGACGGCGGTGGAAGAAACGGGAGGAAGCGAAACGGGTGGCTCGGATTGCTGCGTCTTCACCTGCACCGGGGCTTGGGGAGGCTGCTGCTGTAGTGGCTGCGGCTGCGGCTGTTGGTAGATTTGTTGTTGTTGCTGCTGCTGCTGCTGAATGGTAACCGGTTGTTGCTGAGCATGTTGCATCTGGCCAGGCTGCTGCTGGGTCGCTGGGTATTGTCCAACGTTAATGTAGTCTGCCGGGTTGTACTTGCGTTGCTGTGGTGCATTTCCGTACGACTGTTGCTGCTGTTGCACAGATTGGGGGTCATATGAGTCGCCGTAGTTTCCGGGGTCATGTCTCCAGGAGTCTTGGCTCGCCTGGGCCTGAGGACCAGTTCCAGCCTTGGCACCAGAACCCGACATAGCCATGCTGGCGGCGGCGGCGGCAGCAGCAGCCGAAGAAGATGCACTCGCCGTCCGATCGGGATGCTGGGGACGCTGTGGTGGGGGTTGGTTCGCGTACATCACCTTGGCGGCTTCGGTTGCCTGAGTGGACGCAGCACCGGGGCCGTAAGGAGAAGGCGCTGCACTCTGGGAACCATACCCACCCTGCTGGGAAATCAAGTTTGGTTTTCCTGGCCGGAGAGTACGGTCGCTCAAGTTTGTAGACTGCTTTTGCCGCTGCTTCTGGGTACGGATACCTTCCAGGATCTGGTTCGCCACGGCCATCGACATGCCACAGAAGTCGGGTACCAGGTGGGCACAACCAGAGTGAGCAGTAAGACCACATTCTATAACGTGTTAGCGCAAAACGTCCTAATTCATTAACACAGAGTGAGGGCAAAACTAACCTGAGCACTTTCGACAGCTCTTCTTTCCAAATGGCAGTAAATAGCCACAGTGGCAGCACCAGTTGGCAGTATAGTTGCCAAACGGCTGGAAACGATGGGGAATGCGGTGGTTGATCTTCTCTTCGTCGGGATCGGTTTCGGCGTTGGATTTGCTGATGCACTTGGTGACCACACTTGAGTAGCACTTGATGTGACAAGTGTACTTGCAGTCTTCGCACTGCATGCCCGCGCCGCCCTTGAGGAAATCTCCACAGAGCGCGCAGCGCATGATGTTGTAGAACTGGCGCTGGACGAACTTGTGGCCGTACATCTCGTGGACTTCCTCCTTCTTCTGACGAATGGCACCCTTGCGACCGAGACCAAGGTCCAACGGCCGACGATCCTTGTTCTGGCGGACGAAGTTGAGGTTGAGCTGGATTTGGCCGGTGGGCTCCAGGTTGAACCATCCCGTAATCGGTTCGGGAGACAGATGAGCGGCGTGAGCACCGACACCGTCAAAACCGCCGCCATGGGGATTTTGGGGCGAGAGAGGCCCGCCTTGAGCGTTTTGTTGTGCGCCAAACTGACCCTGGGGATTCATCGGGAATTGAGCTGGCGGTACCCGGTTGGGAGCAGCCGACATTTTGTCGGCCGACACCCAGCCCGACGAATTGATCTCAGCTTCGATTCTCTTTCTCCGAATCTCTTCGGCGATGTCTGATATCCGGACCCAAAGCATGCCAATGGGGATGGCATACTCGCCAGGCTTGTCATAAACCGTCAGTTCGATCTCGTTTGCCTTGTCGACATCCACGCTATGGAACTCGCTCTCCCAACGGTCGGTGCGAGAGAGCCTCGTACGCGCTGCAACATTATCCTCGACCTTCACGGCGACAAAGGTATCCGGGCCGCGGCTGAATCGACCGGTCGGCGCATGATCAACATCTTTCACAGCCATGATGCGAATGGACAGGTTACCAGAAAGCGGCTTCCGCATGTTCGGAACATTGACACTGTCATCTAGTCAATTGTCAGTATGTACGACCAAAAGTTCAACGAACGACGTTTGCCGCTTTTTTTTACTGTGCCAAAGCACTCACCATCTGGTGTGTCGCCCGAGTCAACATCGATATGCAGCTCTTCATACCGCTTCAGAGCCTGCTTCAAAAGTACAATTTTTTGCTTGCTCTCCACCTTCTTCGAGGCTGCGTCGGCTTTGCTCTTCTTATCACCCTCCATCTGGTACAGCTGGACCATCTTCTCGATGCCCTTGAGGTACTGTTCTTCGACATCAAGTTTAAACTGGATTTGGGACAGCATGTGCTGGATACGAGGGCCCATGTACGGCGTGTCGTACTTGATGAGGTCTATGAAAGGAAACCATTAGAATATATCGAGGTAAAGGCATGCAGGAGAGCGCAGGCGTCCTAGCATGGACGGTATCTTACCAAGTTTCGTATAGTTGGGACGCGTCTTCACAACCGCTGTGTCGGCCGGCGAGTCTGAGTAGTTCGAAGGAGACTGGACGCCATGCTGCGAGTATGTACTGGCAGCGTAGTTCTGCGAGTTCAGAGTGGAAGTGTCACCCCAAGATGACGCAGAATCTTTTGGTGGCGGCGTCGGCGGGGCGCCGCCAGCTTCATTTCGCAGATCGGTGCTTCGGGGACGCAGAGAGCCAGGTGCCGGAGAATTGGATCCACCACTTCCCAGGCTCATGTTGTCGACACCCTGGCCGAGGCGGCGCACCTGAACCTGACGAAGCATGTCCTCGTAGTACTCCAGGTGGCGCCGCGCGGAGTGGACCGCGGAATCGAGTTTGGAAAGAACATCGGCATTGTCCGAGTTGGCGGCCTTGCGCATCTCAATGGCCTTGCCTAAAAACACCTTCTCGATGTCGATCTTCTTCAAGATCTGTTGCATCTGCTGCTCTTCCGCCATGGTTGCTAGTTTTCGGGCCACGCGTTGGTTCGCGTGGCAGCAGCTCTAGAATCGGTACAGCTGGGTTTCAGGAGGTTCAGGCGCAGAGAGCAACCTGTCGTTGTAATGCGAGATGAGGCCGGCTGAAATTGACACGCTCTGGAAAGCCTTATTGGGAAATCTTGGGCGCCGAAGAAATCCTGAGAACCGAAGGTGACAAGGGAGAAGCAGTTGCCAAAGGTGCTTTTGTTTCGGAAGTTGTTGCGAAGCGGTTTTGTGGCAATTCTCGGGTGGCGTTCGTGATGACCAAGTCAGGCTGTACGGACAGAATCGAAGAGATCCCCGAAAAAGTTGGAACGATCAGTCCGGTACGGTTGTCTTCGAGAATGCCTACCGGAATAATCGTGACGTGGATGCGAGTCTACAACCACAGGCCCAGATATGTTGGAATCGCCTAATCTCGTGCTGTCTCCTTTTGCAGTCCACAAGCTCAGTCGTCGTGTCGTGAGTGTGTTGCCGAGGACAAACCGCCGTGCCTGGATATCGCGCCGCGAACTGTACACTCGCGAAGGACCGAGGCAAAAACGTGCACAAGAAAAAGGTCGAGACAGAAGAAGCTTGAGCGGACGAAGCTCTTGCAGAAACCGGTTGGGAGGTAGGGGGGGAGGAGGGGAGCGCCAGCGGGCGGGAGAGGAGAGGGAGGGGGGATTGGGGGGAAAGGTTGTGGAGGGACGCGAGGCAGACAAAACACAAGCTAGAAAATGTTTCAGTTCTGGAGAACAAAACCAAACGGGGGCCTTTGCTGCTCAGGTATGCGAGAGGCTATGGTGACAATGGCAGCCCTGGTGATGCAAGATGCGCGTGAGCGAAAGAAAGGACGAAGTGCCCGTATTGCTGCGAGGGCGAGAGGTGGGACGAGAAGAAAGACGAGAACAGGAACCGGGGCAGTATTCCGGGTTTCCTAGTCTCGGCGCGAGAATGCGATGCCGCAGGCTTTGGGAACAGGAGAGGAGGGAGGGGTTGAAAACGGGAGACAAGGGAACGGCGCAGAATGAATACCCGCCTAGAGAGAATGAAAATCCAAAAGGAGCGAAAAAAGACTTGCTCAAGATACGTTAAAGGAGGGGAAGAGGACGGGGAGGGACGGAGAAGAGGGGCTGTTTTGGTTGTTCCTGCGCTTTACGGCCGCTGTGGCAATCTCTTTGGCACGCTGTTTTGTGGAGGTGGGCGGAAGGCGCGAAGCAGTTCACAGCAAAGCAATGGTTGTGGTGGAGGGGCTCTAAACAGGGGTGTGCTTTTACGCTTGCAGAACAGTGACGTATCGTAGGTGACGTTAGTGGTGGGAGTGGGAACAGAAAGGTCCGCCGTACCGCATTGCTTTGGCAGAGTGATGTCAAAGCAGAAGTTACCATATTTCTATTTATTTACTTTGTCGAGGCCCGTCCTTTCCTCCCTTTTTTTCCTACCAGTTTGGCTGGTCGGGCGCTGTCAGATCGGGCGTCTTTGCAAATCGCGCTTTCCTGCTCTAGAAACTGTCCTAGATTCTAGGACTTGCCTGACAAACCCCCGCCTGTGTCGCCCAAAACCAGCAGGTGGGGAAAGACACAACATCAGCCCAACTGTCAGGAGCAAACAAGCATCAAGTGTTGACTGCCAGCAGAAAGACAACGGACGACATATGCTGGGCTCTGCACTACAAATTCTGGTGCAGCTTGTTTACAGTCTCTGCGTCAAAACATAAATAAAAATAAAAATAAATGATGATGATAATCATAATAACAATAATAGTGATAATTATATCAAAAGGGGCACGTGACCGACGGCAACGTCAAACAAACACGAGCCAGAAGAGGCAGCCGTTCCGGGGTAAGCCCAAGCTGCAGTCATCTCGCTACTTATGTCACCATATATTTTTCCTTGTTTTTCTCATAATTTACTTGGTCCGTTTTGCGTCCCGTTCGTCGTATGTCGTGCATCTCAATTTTCCTCCAGTGCGCTTGGCACAGTGGCATAACATGAACCTGGGCACTAGCTCTCTAGTCCTCTCGACTGGTTCAATTAGTTGTGGGGACTCTTTCCTGCGTAAACTGTCCACAGTGGCAATACGGATGGCCTCGTAGCGAGAAACGGTTGACGTCGGTTCAGGGCAAACTGCTCATGCTGAAAACTATATTTTAACCGTTTTTCATTTTTCTCGTTTTATTCCTGATTATTAGCATTACCATGTATATCATAATGATTTTAATAATTTATTTAAGAAAAAAAATGATTTTGAGCTTTGAATGAAAATGAAATTTAAAGATAACGTTACGTGTGTACTCGGCTATTGTTGAATATGAAATCATAAAGCTTAAAATAACAGAAAAATAAATTCCCGAGAAAATAAAACTCGTATACACGTGGCACAAAACGACCAGACGAGATAAATGTTCGAGCTGACAAAAAGTTGACGTGACACGACATTGCCGGTTTCAACTGAAAAGTACTGCAGGCGACAGTTCTCTTACCTGGCCAATTATATATAGAATGTGAGATAGCTCGAGGTGTCGGTAGTAGACTGATGCTACCTTGAAAATGTAAAACACATTGCAAAAGTACGGCGAGATGGTGATGTCTGGAAACCGGTTTAGTTGACCTCGTTCAGATTTGATTTGAAGGAGAAGATCTGTATCAAAATACGTAAACGCGGGCTACGGACGGCGCTCATGTCTTTGCGGAGTGTGTTGATCCAATTTATGTATTTATTTCTTTGTGTACTTCACCCGGCAATGTACGTTTAAATTCCCAGGCCAACAAAAACGCCAAAAATCAAGAATCGGGTCCCGCGCTGTTGCTTCTGGATATGAAGTGACGCTTCTCCATTTCGCCACGCATTCTAAACATAACTGTGGGATCTCTATGCGGTGTACTCCTTCTGTAGAAGCTTGGCAATCGTGTTCAGCCTAGACTAGTTAGTATGGATGCACGTGGAAGAAATAAAAAAAAAATAAGAAAAAGAAAGAAAGAAAGGTGTAACGTACTGGATGTTGCTGGTACCCTCGTAGATGGCACCAATCTTGCTGTCACGGAAGAACTTCTCGGCGAGACCCTCGCGCACGAAGCCCATGCCACCCATCCACTCAACAGCCAGGCTGCTGACGCGGCCGGCAACCTGCGACGCGTACAGCTTGGCCATGGCGGCGTCCTTGACAAAGTCCTCGCCGGCCTCCTTCTTGCGAGCGGCGTTGTAGACGAGCGCACGAGCGGCGGCAATCTCAACGTAGGACTGGGCCATCTGGTGCTGCATGCCCTGGAACTCGCCAATCAGCTGACCGAACTGCTTGCGGTCGTTCCAGCAGTAGCGGGCGGCGTTCTCCCAGGCGCCGAGGGCTAGGCCGGTCATCTGCGCGGCAATGCCGATGCGGCCCTCGTTCAGCAGGCCGATGGCGTACTTGTAGCCCTGGCCCTTCTCGCCAATCAGGTTGTCCTTGGGGATGTCGACGTCGTCAAAGTTGATGACGCAGGTGCTGCTGGCGCGGATGCCCAGCTTCTTCTCCTTCTTGGCAATGGAGAAACCGGGAGTGCCCTTCTCCACGAGGAAGGCAGTGATGCCGCGGTAGCCCTTGGAAGGGTCGAGGTTGGCAAACACGATGAAGATTTCGGCCTCCATGCTGTTGGTGATCCACATCTTGGAGCCCGAGATGCGGAAGCCGGATTCGGTCTCGGTGGCGCGCGTGGCCAGGGCAAAGGCGTCCGAGCCCGACACAGGCTCAGACAGACAGAAGGAGCCGACGGACTCGGAGGCAAGTTTGGGCAGAACACGCTTCTGCATGGCGGGGCTGCCGTAGCGCGTAAAGAGGGTGTTGACGAGCGTGTTGTGGACGTCGACGAGAACACTGACGCTGGGGTCGGCACGCGCCAGCTCCTCAATGGCAATGATGGCAGACGTGAAGTTCATGCCGGAGCCGCCAAACTCCTCTGGGATCTCGATGCCCATCAGCCCCTGCTCAAACAGGCGCTCAATGATCTCGGGCTCCATGGCCTCGGCCTCGTCCATCTCGCGGGCTTTGGGCAGGACAATCTCGTTGGCGAACTTTTGCACGGCCTCCTGCATGGACGACTCGATCTCGTTGAGGGACATGATGGGCAGGTGGGGGACGTCGTCATCGCGGCGGGCGGGTGTGTACGAGAACGAGCGGGTGCTACACGGACAGCATCAAGAAACGGGTCAGCCGGCAATGTTCGATACGGTAAATCACACAACAAAGATAAATCAGAACAGGGCACATCACAGCTCGTCTTACGCTTGAGCGGCCACTATCCGGCTGGGGAGTGCTCTCCGTGGGGCAGCCGTGGCGATTCTGGAGATGGTAGAGACCTGGCCCATCCGGAGGGCCGGGCGCAGAACTCGTACGAAGGACGACATTGTGGTGGGCTGTGTCGGGAGGTCGGGAGAACCAGGAGGGACGAAGTTGTAGAATGGCGGCCGACAAAGAAAGAGAAGCAAAGGGAGAAAGGAGGCAGAGGAGGGCAAAGTTGGGGTAAGAGCGACCAGTGGAATGCATATATAGCAAGGAACAAGCACTTGGCGGGTCACGACGGCAACAAGTAGACCGAAAATAAAAAGAAGAAAACGACCCTGGCAAAGAAAATACAGTATCTAAGGACTCAAACCCGTCATTACCGCGACCCTTTTTCGTAGATAGACGTCGTCCACAAGCGAAAATAGGCTCGCTGGTCAAGCGGAGTGTACCAAACAGCCCCGCGGTAGAAAATAAGCGGTCCTTTGGATGCTTTGTACCGAGGGTATCCATTGCTTGTGACAAAGGCCCGCTCTTTGATACTTTGGAGGCGAGCTGACCGGGGGCAGCGGCTTGGGGAACACGCCAAAGCCGAGCAAATGGTTGCCGTCGGTCCTGTAGGTGGGGACAATCAGAAAGCGAGGCGCGACAGATCGTGGAGCGACGGGACCCGCAAAAAGTGAACTTCCGGTTGGAGACTTTGGAGTGCTTGAGCCGTTATCACCACGTGACCAAATTCGT